GGGTGCCGAAATGGAGAATACTAAGGGACGGCCTGTCTCAGAGAAGATGAGCAGCTGACGTTAAAGCCCAGAACTGCCGGATGAAAGGGTGCCAACCTGAGAAAACCTAGTGTATGGGGAGTGAGTGTGTGTGCAGGTGTGAATGTGAGTGCCTGTGGGGATGGGGACGTATGTGAGAGTGTATGTGTGAGGGCAGGTGGGTGGTCACAAAGCCTGGTGCATGTGTGTGTGTGTGTATGTGTGGAACTGAGAGAAGAATATTGGCACAGCCAGAGTGGAGTGAGTGAGGCAGAGACTCCAGCTCGAGCAGGGCCTTGTACACCATGGGAAGTTCAGATCTGTTCTCAATGTCTGTGAAAAGGCCTCTGTTAGAGGACATTTTATTTACACACTTTTGGAACAGGGTGATGTTCTTGTCCTCTCCGCTCATGACAGATTGAGGAAACCAAGGCCCAGAGAGCTTGAATGGTTTCTTCAGAGTCCTGGGGTGTGTCAGAGGCAGAGTGAGATCAGGAGCTCTGTCCCAGGTTCACTGCTCTTCTTACTCTGCCAGTCAGGGCTGCAGACGAATCGCTTCTGTAGCTGGGTTTCTGCTTAGAGAAGGTACAGTTCTTTTTGTACAAGTTGTCTCAGTGTTCTCAGGGGGGGGAGATTGCTCAGGGCTGAGTGCCTTGTAGGTAACAAGCATTCAATATTTGGAATTGTCTCATTGGATACACAGAAATGTCTATTTCTACATATTTTAAAGAAGAGATAATTTAGACTTTGAGAGGGAAGGAGCAGGAAAACTGACATTTCAGAGAGTATTTTCTTGTAAGTAAGGCTTCTGAACTGCTCCAGGCTTCAGCATCCTTCTCTACATGGTGAGGGAGAGAGTTGGACTAAGTGCTCTTTGGAGCCCTTCTAGGCTTAACAGTCAGTGAATATACAAGGCCAGGGTGTGGGTTTCTGAAACCACTGTTGTGATCACTTGGGGTTCTTTCAGCATGGGCTTTATGCACGCTGGGTTTCAGTGAGTGGAGGTTGCTGGGTGTGCCTTCCAGGCACTGTACTTTGAACAACATGGGTTTAAATTTTGAGCGTCCACTTATCCATAGATTTTTTTTCCCACTAAATAAGCACTACAGTGCTACTTGATCCTAGGTTGGTTCAATCCGCAGATTCGGAACCGTGGATACGGAGGGCCAACTACAAAGTTATACATGGATTTTTCGGCTGTCCAGAGGGTCAGTGCCCCTAACCCCTGCTGTTGTTCAAGGGTCAACTATATAAATAAAGGTCAGGGTGAGGGGGAGGGAGCATGAATCGGATGTGTGTGCAATGCGATTTTAAGCAGGGAAATTTAGGAAGGTGTGTTGAGAAGGTGACACTTTAGCAAAGATTTGGAGGATGGTAGGGTGCTAGTCATGAAGATATCTGGGGGAACTTTCCAGGAATAGGGGAAAAGACCTAAGTGCGTTCCTGGTGAGTATGAGGAAGGGCAGGAAGGCCAGCATGGCTCGAGAGAAGAGAGTGGGGCGAGCACAGAAGGAAATGAAGTCAGGGGAATGCTGGAGACAAAACTGTGAGGGCCTCATGGGACCTTGACCACAACAGAAACAGGAGCCGTTGCTGGGCTTTGAGCAGGGGAGAGACATGAGCTGAAGTGTCTGAACAGGATCACTTTGGCTGCCGTTCAGGGAGCAGACTGAATGGGGGCAAGGGAGGAAGCGGTGAGGTTAGGAGGTGACTGCAGTGATTTAGGACGGAGCGGATGGTGGGCTGGACCCAGCAGGTAGCAGCAGAGGTCATAAGATATAGTCTGATTCTGGATATATTTTGAAGGTAGGGCAGGTAATAGTCCCTTGCAGAATGGATGTGCAGTGAAAGAAAAAGAGAAGAGTCCAAAAGACTCCAGAATTTTTGGTCTGAGCAACGGGGAGGTTGGAGGATGGAGCTGCCATGAAATAATGGGGAAGTCTAGAGTTGACGCAGGTTTGGAAGGGAAGATATGAGGTCTGCTCCAGACAGGTTGCGCTTCAGATGTCTGCTCGACACCCAAGTGGAGCTTTAGAGTAAGGCAGCTGGCTCTAGCAGCCTGGAGTTAGGGAGATGTCTGTGCTAAAGACAGATTAGGAATTATCAGCGTGTAGATGGCGCACCGTCTCCAGAGTCATAGAACCTAAATGCCATGGGAGAGGGAGTGAGGATGGAGAAGAAAAGTCCCGGGATTTAGCTGCGACTCTCCCCAGCATGAAGAGGTAGAAGAGAAGAGGAGGTCCAGCAATGGGGACTGAGGAGGAGGGACCTGTGAAGTAGGAGGAGGGCCAGGAGAGGGCGGCGTGCTGGAAACCAAGTGAAGAAAGCGCTTCAAAGAGGAAGAAGAGGGCTTCCCTGGTGGCGCAGTGGTTGAGAGTCTGCCTGGCGATGCAGGGCACGCGGGTTCGTGCCCCGGTCCGGGAAGATCCCACATGCCGCGGAGCGGCTGGTCCTGTGAGCCATGACCGCTGGGCCTGCGCGTCTGGAGCCTGTGCTCCGCAACGGGAGAGGCCGCAACAGTGAGAGGCCCACGCACCGAAAAAAAGAGGAGGAAGAGCTCCACTGTGTCAAATACTGCTGGGAAGGCAAGTAAAAGGGGACTGAAAACTGACCATTGGGTTTAACAAAATGAAGCCCTTGACGAGCCGTTTCCGTAGAGTGTTGGGCAAAAGCCAAATTGCAGTTTCAGAGAGAATGGAAAGAGAGAAATTGGAGTATAGACGTCTCATTTGAGGAGTTTTGACATAGAGCAAAACAGAGAAATGGGGGAAGTGCCTGGAGAAGGAGTCTTGTTTTCTTTTTTTAAGCTGGGGAGGGTAGAAGCATGTTTATATGCTTATGGGGATGGAAAAAATTGGGGATGAGGAGGCGGGCCGGGGAGGGATGCAGAATTGCTGGAGCTGATGTCTTTGAGTTGGTGAGAGGCACTCCTGAAAATCCATGTTGCAGTTTGCTCTTTGCTGAAGCTCTGGAGGCCTAACCCTCGTACCCAAACTTGGAGGAGAGTAACGTTTAAAATGGAGAGCGGATTTAGCACACTATCGTGTGACAGAAGAATGGCATTTTTCACTTGCTCTGGGCACATCTTCTCTCCTCGCAAGGCACATCAGCTTGAAGGCAGAAGATTGCTTGGTTAGATAGGATTTTATAACTCCCCTAACTCCTACCCCGAATCTGAAATCACATTTCCTTCCAGTAAGACTTTCGCCTTGCTGATCTAGTGCTGTCTCTCTCAAAGGAGCTGACATCAGGCCTCCAGAATCAGCATACCGTAATTCTGCTACAATAAGCACTGACAAATGTTTCTTCGTTATCTCTCCTTTTTCAGAAAGTGGTCTGTCTCTCCTGTCTCTTTTCCTTAGACATACTGGTGATAACAGAGAGGATTAGATTACAGAATAGCTTTCTTCAGCTATTTCTCAATCTCTAGGATGCCCTTTGGAGATACTGTATGATTTGTTCTTCTCAAGTCTATTTAGCGGGCTCTTGACAACTCCCTCCCTTTGGGTGGGATGCTTGAGTAACCCCTGTGCACCCGTTGAAAGTTGCTGCTTCTAGTTTCATTCTTAGAAGACAGACAGCTCTTTTCTTTTTTTAAATTGAGATATAATTCACATAGCATAAACCTGGCCATTTTAAAGTGTACAATTCAATGGTTTTTCATATATACACAGGGCTGTGCACCCATAACCATTTCATATATACACAGGGTTGTGCACCCATAACCATCTAATTCCCAAAGATTTTCATCACTCCAAAAAAGGAGACCCCATAACCATTAGCAGCCACTCCCCAAGCCCCACTTCCTTCTACCCCTTGGCAAATACCCATTTACTTTCTGTCAATAAATTTGCTTACTCTGGACGTTTCCTTTAAATGGAATCATACATGTGGCCTTTTCTATCTGGCTTCTTTCACTTAGAATAGTGTTTTCAAGCTTTAGCGGTGTTCAGCCATGTTCATACGTGATACTATGTATCAGTACTTCATTTCCTTTTATGGCTGAATAATATTCCATTGTATAGACATACCACATTTTATTTATCTGTTCATTAGTTGTAGACTTTGGGTTGTTTCTACTTTTTGGTTATTATGAACGATGTTGCTATAAACATTCATATACAAGCGTTTGTGAGGACACGGATTTTTGCATGTGCCCAGGGGTGGGATTGCTGTGTCATATGTTAACACAATGTCTAACCTTTTGAGGAACAGCCAAACTTTTCCACAGTGTCTGTGCCATTTCACATTCTCATCAGTGTTGTATGAGGGTTTCTCTACATCCTCGCCAACACTTGTTATTGTCTGTTTTTTGATGACAGCCATCCTAGGAGGTGTGAGCTAGGAGGACGGGACCACTCAACTTCAGATTTTTGGGGCCACCTCCCATTAGACCCTTTTATGTTACTGTTTACAGATGTGAAAATGGAGGCACAGACTAATTCCCTGCTCAAGGTCTTATACTGTCCAGTGATGGAATTGGTGTCTGACTTGTGGACCAGTTATTCTTTCCACCAGGCTGTTGTGATGTCTGTGGCATTCTAGTCAGGAATCTGAAATTTTTATTGGTCTGTCTAAATACAGGGAAGATCTCAGCAGGAAGGCTCTGAGGGCTAACTGTGAGGTCTGCTGGGAGTATGAAATATTATTTATCTTTTCCCCCATCACCTTCCCAACACAGTAGACAGCCTTACTCTGTTATGTGTTCTTCAGAACCTGAAGCAGATGTCCTCTTATTTATGTATTTCTCCTAGTTTTCTACTAGACTTCAAATATTTTGAGGGCAGTGGTCATGTCTCAGTATTTATAAATCTGGACGTAATGCCTGGTACATGGTGGGCCCTCAGGAAATGTTTGAGGAATTAAATTGGATAAATCACCCAGGATTATTAGAGAATGAGTTTATTATAAATCAACTCTTTGGAGAAAAACACAACAAAAAGATGAGATACAAATGGTAGGTGATAAAAAAGCCACTTTCCTTTATTACATATCACAATCTATTAATAACATAGAACTAGATGCAGACGTAGAGAACAGACATGTGGACATAGTGGGGAAGGGTAAGCTGGGACAAAGTGAGAGAGTGGCATGGACATATATACCCTGCCATGTGTAAATAGATAGCTAGTGGGAAGCAGCCTCATAGCACAGGGAGCTCAGCTTGGCACTCTGTGATGACTGAGATGGGTGGGATGCGGGTGGTGGGAGGGAGGCTCAAGAAGGAGGGAATATATGTATACATACAGCTGATTCACTTTGTTGTACAGCAGAAACTAACACAACATTGTAAAGCAATTATACTCCCCCCCAAAAAGAATAACATAGAATGAAGCTTAGTGCTTGCATGTATAAATTGATTAGCTAAGGCAAAATACATATCAAGATACTGGCTGGACTGTGGCCTATTGGTCTATGAAATTTTAGTCTACTTGTAATTAATAAATGATGCAATTGTCCTGAACTATCTCTAACCTCAAATTCCAAATTTTCCAACTATCTAAAACACACATTGCATCTTTCCCACTGTATTTATAATTAGAATTTTTGTAAAAAGTTAAACTATACAGAAGCATAGAGTAGGAAGTGAAAAATCCCTCTTTATCTCTGTCTTTATTCCAACATGGAATAGAATATCAGGCTCTAAATTCCTAAGGCCACAAATATTTTGTAGTTTCACTTGGAAGAAAGAAGAATATTCTAAATTTCCCTGAGACTGACTTCCTTTTATGGATGAACACAAAAGTGACAATCCTCAAATTCTGAATAAAACAGAGAATCACTGAACTGGGGAACTTTTTCTCTAGGGACATCTCTTGCCATGGATAGAGAACATGTGATGAATCAGTCTTCACTAGTCGTGGAAGAGTGAAGGCAGGAGGTTATTTCTTTCATTGCTAATTTTATTTCAGACAGACTGTCATTTGTACACGAGGTTAAGAGGGTTGTGAGGTGTTTCTTCAGATAGGTCAAGTTAAAACACCCTTTACTTGGTTACCTCAATTTTCTACTTTGAAGAAGAAATGTTATATTGCTCCTGCAATGGTTTTCTTTATCCAGTTGAGGTATTTTTTGGTAAGGAGAATGTAGATGCCAGGTTTCTGGGGGTTACCACACTTCCCAAAGGAAGTGACACCTCTGAAAACGTTATCACATATCAGAGGACTTCCAGAATCCCCCTGGAAAAGAAAGTCACATGTTTTAAACAAGAGTGCTTTCCAAAGATATTTACTTACCTTTTTAGTCATTCATTTATTCACTCATTCGCTCACACATTGTTTCTCTCTTTCCTTTTTAAAGGCTAATTTTATATCTCTTTTTATTAATTGTCTGCCCTCCGCATCAATTAACACAGATTTGTTTATATTTTCCAATCATTTTCATTTTGCAAAAGGCAATTCTGGAGAAGATGTACAAACTCATTTTCATCAGTAAAACAAAGAAAGAATAACAAAGGAAGCCTTTAAAATAATTGTGAAAAATAATTGTCTCCTTCAGTTGACCTGTATCCCCTTTTCTTGCTCAGTACATGTTAGGGGAAAAAACTGAATGTAGGCGCTGCCTGAAGGCATGAGATGGGATCTGAGCCACTCCCTGCTCTGAAGGAGGACACGGGTTAAGCCATCTCAGACCAAGGAGTACTTGTGATAGTTCAAACAATTTTTAGGGATCTTTTCCAGTTTTCATCAGCCCTCATTTCATATTCTCTCTGACCTTGAAAACCACTTCTGGATCATGAGTTCCAAATAGGGCCAAACCATAGTCAAGCACGTGGAGAGGCAGAACAACGCAGGAGTTGGGAATCAGATGGCCCCAGTCTAAGTCCAGGTCCTCCCCACTGAGAGTCGAGTTATCTAACTTGGGGAAATAACTTTCTAAGCCTTAATTTCCCTATCTGTAAAATAGAGTTGGTAATAATAGTGTCTATCCCATGGGGCTATTTGAGGATCAAGTGGCATAGAGTATAGGACTTGATATAGTTCCTGCCATCTGATAAATGCCAGCTGATGTGATCAGTTTTGAGAGGGCTGAAAGCATCCATAAGCGGTGGTTAAATGGGATCCTGATTATTAGGAACGAGAGAAGTTTCCCTGGGCAGAATGTTTCACTTGAGACAAAGGAGCACACACCAGCCCAGTGTCAAGCTGACGTTCTTGCAGGCCTCACACATAAAAAGTAATAATGACAGTCCGCCGTCTTGTTCCTAGGCACTCTATTTAACCTGATTTCCTATAGCCCCCAAACGGTTAAAATTTTTAATTTACTTACTTCACATGAATCATCTTCACCTTTTCTACCACCAGCACAGATCATACTGAGATCAATAACTGGATTAAAATTATAGTGCTGGGCATCATTGCATATTTTCCTATCTATCACAGTAATGTTGGCTTCTCTCAAGGCACTTGAAATTTTGCACGCGTCTTTTTTGGTGCTTCCCCATCCTGCCACATGACACTTGGTGTGGGGTTTGACATCGTCTCCTGTTTTCGGTAGCCGAAGTATTCCTACAGCTTTGGTCATAGTTGCTTTACCATCCAGCTAGAAAAGAGACAGGAGATGCAGTTTTAGGAAAGGACAACAGTAACCAAACCCAGAAAACAGCTCTGACTGAAATAGATACCTTGCTTATTTAGCATGTTCTTACGAAGGACGTGGCCAAAGTCCTGTTCCAACCGAATTGACCATCAGTTACTGATTTTTTAAAAGTCACAGCGCACCTTTTCTTGCATGTTTTGCTAGGCTAGTCTAGATAAACTTCAGTCCAGTTGACCTGTCAGTGATGAAATTATGTTGGTGGTGGCTGACAGTTCTGTGGTTGAAAAGCTGTATTGGAGAGTGCCATCATTATTTTATTCAGGTGGTCTTAGGTTTGTGAACTGACTGGTACTGAGACCAATGGAAGGAAGCCAGGGCTCCAGGTGCAGTGGGGTGGGGTGGGAAAGGGGCCAGTGTCCTCATTTTCCACGTGGAAATGTGGCTTCCCCGCTTCTGAGCAGGTGCTAACCAGCCTAACTGCCTTTGGGGGCTCCCCCACGCTCTGCCCTTTCCTTTGATTCACTAAAGCTCTCTTCTTGGCTCACCACCTCGCTTTCTCTCTTTCTGAAAAGTCACGGCAAGGAGATCAGGGAGTGTGATCAAGGTTGAGTAGAGGGTAGAGGAAGATAATTCTACTTCTTTTCTTCTTGCCTCAAGCTGTAGGGAGTCCTGGTGTTACAGACCTTCTAAAAACATAGGGACACAGCAGCAAAGGCCACTGTCACATTCCTATCATTGCATTGCTTTCAGGCCCCACTTCCTGACATGAGACAGTCCCCACTTCCTCAGTGCCCACTCTGAGTTGCTGGTGTGCCCAACCCTTACCCTGCTAGCATTTAGAAAGTGAGATGGCCATAGTCTAAAATCTCTCCATAGAACATGACTTCAAATGCCTACATGCAACGTCTCTCCTTCTCTCCTACTCATGCTTTCTCACAGCCTTCATGCTTGTTATCTGGTTGGATGGACAAGGAGGCAGGAGAATCCCCAGAAAGGGCTTCAGGTCTGAATGAATGGATCAGAATCGGAGTCAGGATGAGTATGTTTGTAAGTAGCTCTCCTGGGGTCAGGCACACACAGCAGTGATGAGCACATCAGTAGGTTTTAGCCGTGGAAGGTTGACCGCAGGGAGGTCCTGATGCCCTCTTCATGAGTTCTCTAGCAACATCACCCCACTGGCCACAGTGTCAGAGGTGAGAGGGAGTTTCCTGACTTTACTTCAAGACCAAGAACCCCTTGCACCCCCTACTCATCCCACCCTATCGTAAAGGTAAGATTTTTAGTTCCTGAAGGAGACTTGACAACTGCTACCACTTTCTTGAAACCTGAGTGCAGAATCTCTTCTCTTGGTGACCTTTGCCACTGTCTGGCTTAATTCCATCCCTTATCCAAAATTATTCAGGAAATATTTATGGAGGGCCTACTATGTACTAGGAACTATACTACCTGGTACAGGGCATACAAATAAAAAGACAAAAATATCTGTTCTTTGAAGATTACATTCCAGGGAGGGGGGCAGACAGACAAACTAAGGTACATCAGAAGTGCGTGTTGTCCATCATCGGATGAATGGATAAAGAAGATGTGGCACATATATACAATGGAATATTACTCAGCCGTAAAAAGAAACGAAATTGAGTTATTTGTAGTGAGGTGGATGGACCTAGAGTCTGTCATACAGAGTGAAGTAAATCAGAAAGAGAAAGACAAATACCGTATGCTAACACGTATATATGGAATTTAAGAAAAAAAAATGTCATGAAGAACCTAGGGGTAAGACGGGAATAAAGACACAGACCTACTAGAGAATGGACTTGAGGATATGGGGAGGGGGAAGGGTAAGCTGTGACAAAGTGAGAGAGTGGCATGGACGTATATACACTACCAAACGTAAAATAGATAGCTAGTGGGAAGCAGCCGCATAGCACAGGGAGATCAGCTCGGTGCTTTGTGACCGCCTGGAGGGGTGGGATAGGGACGGTGGGAGGGAGGGAGACACAAGAGGGAAGAGATATGGGAACATATGTATATGTATAACTGATTTACTTTGTTATAAAGCAGAAACTAACACGCCATTGTAAAGCCATTATACTCCAATAAAGATGTTAAAAAAAAAAAAAAAGTTCGTGCTGTGGAGAAAAACCGCAGGAGGGAAGTAGGCCAAGGAGTGCCCTCTACTGGACAGGGGAGGGAATTGCCTTTCCCTGCCCAGGGAGGGGTACTGGAGGGAATTAGAGTATGGGTGAGGAGGGGTGACCTGAGAGAGAGGCCCAGCCTGAGAGTCTCAAGGCAGATAGTATGGGGGTCACTGATAAGTATTGGGGAGCAGGGAATGTGGGGAGTTTGCCGGAAACACATGGCACTCTAGGACCTTGTCTTTACTCCTACTGATGAGGGTGTGTGGATCCCCTGAGCATCCTCTTGACTCCTGCTAGGGAAGGTCCTCATCAAGCCCCTTTGGACAGGTGTGAACCTCAGCTCACACTCTGCCTTCCAGTTCTGCCTTTTCTATTATACTTTCTGCACAGCAGCCAGATAATCCTTCTAAAAACAAGCCTGATCATGTCACTGCCCAGCTTAAAACACTTTCCCATTTCCTTCCCCATAAAGTTCAAACTTCTTCCCATGGTTCACAATATCTGGGTCCCCACTTTCTCAAATCTCATGATAACTTCCCTTTCTTCCCTTCTTCTTCCAAATGCATTTTCCAGAAAGACTCCTCTTATACACACTGCTCTTCCTGCCTGAAAGGCCCTTTCCTCCTTCTTTCCTACTAACCCCTGCACCTTCTCTAAGAAAGCTTCCCTGACCGCCTGGACACACCATGTGCTCCCGTAGAGTCCCCGTCTTAGTCATCTCCATCACCGATGAGTCACATACCACCAGATCCGAGCTGTTGATATATTTGTCTGTCTCTCCCACTAGACTGTGAACACTTTGAGAACAGAACCTATTTATCTTATGAGGAAGAGAAAAGCTTACTGGCACTCACAGCTGGGCCACGATTTTTCCTGTTGATCATGAACACTTGTCATAGAGCACCAATATCAGACAGGGTGAGCCTCAAGAAGGGAGCAAAACCCCGGCCGCTCTGCAGTCACGTTTGAGTACAGGCAAAAACAAGGTCATTGTGCCCACCACAAAAATGACCAAGCGCCCCCTATCGGCTAAAATGAGTGATTGCTGCTTCTTATCAATCACAGATTTAGCCTCCTAGATAAGTAAGATTCACTGAGATACTCAGTCATAGAATTACCCCACTTCCTGACAACAGTCAGTTCAGAGCAAACTCCTACTTCCTAGAACCCTCCCCCTCATCTGACAAATCCTAGGATAAGCCCCATCTAACACTCTCTTACTGAGCCACCCTATGGTTCCTCATGGTGTACAGTCTCCCTTGCTGAGCAAGAATCAATAAATGCAATGTGGTTTGTCTGCAGTTGAGTTGCTGGTGGCATTACCACTTTGGATTGACAGGTCTTACCACAGTAGGACTTCTGTCAATATCTGTTAAATTGAACTGAATTCCAAGAGGGTGAACTTCTGTACAATTGCGCTGGGTCCCAGCTGTACTTCTTACCCTTACATCCTGGCATTAGCCAACCACTGGCTATGAGGCCAGTGTGTAAAAACTAGTTTCAAGTTAAACTGATCAAATTTCAAAATTTTGCAATTTCAAAATAGTTATTGAAAAAAAACGCCATATTTACCTGAAGGAGTTGAAGATCCTCTTCAAATGTCTGTGGATTGAAGCATGGATGGGGAATTGCCTTTTTAATGGAAAATACTTGGTCATATTTCTCTTTATGGGAGGTAGAGTGGGCCCCAAGAATAACTCGAGGATTGCCTTTCCTGGAAAAAAACAAGGACGATGTATCATTTATGTGAGAGAATAAATGAAATTAAGCATGAACTTAGCTTATTAAATCTGACCAGTTATTTCAGATGGTTTCCTATTTATAAACAAGCACAGCAAGGCAGGGGGGAATTTATGAGGTTTTTTACTTTTGGTGTTTTAGTTACTTTTTATTTGTTTATTTATTTATTTTGTGGTACGCGGGCCTCTCACTGTTGTGGCCTCTCCCGTTGCGGAGCACAAACTCTGGACGCGCGGGCTCAGCAGCCATGGCTCACGGGCCCAGCCGCTCCGCGGCATGTGGGATCTTCCTGGACTGGGAACGTGTCCTGGACCTGGACGAACCCGTGTCCCCTGCATCGGCAGGCGGACTCTCAACCACTGCGCCACCAGGGAAGCCCTGTTTTAGTTATTTTTACCTAAAACTCCCAAGACATGTGTTATCTTAGGTGCTTCAGCTTCACATCTTTTCAAGGAAGAAGTAACAGGAGAGAAATCCCAGGTCTTCTGGCAGAGGCAAGAGCGTTGGTTGGCAAGGCCTGGAGAGGTATGCTTGGGTGCTGACCAAAGAGGACTGCTGCAGGAAGAGGAGCTACCAGTGTCTCCATCTGCCTTGGATTTGTGGAATCAACACCTAATGGAAGAGACTCAACCCAAGACCTAGAGACTAAACCTAAGAGTGAGAGCAGAGGTAGTGGGTTTGCTTTTCTGTGTTTCAGGGAGACCGTGTACCTTGCTTAAGTCTTCAAAGATGACAAATATGGGGCTTCCCTGGTGGCGCAGTGGTTGAGAGTCCACCTGCTGATGCAGGGGGCACGGGTTCGTGCCCCGGTCCGGGAAGATCCCACATGCCACGGAGCGGCTAGGCCCGTGAGCCATGGCCGCTGAGCCTGCGCGTCCGGAGCCTGTGCTCCGCAACGGGAGAGGCCAAAACAGTGATAGGCCCGGTTCCGGAAAAAAAAAAAAAAGATGACAAAGATGGAAAAGAGTCAGGCTTTTAATAGGTAAGACTGAAGAAATGAATCAACTTTACAGTGAAATTTTAAAGCTGAATCTAAACACACACACACACACAGGAGCAAATAAACTGCTAGCCGCCAAGTCTAGTTTGTGAACCTAATGATAGCTAATCTGGGAGAGGCGGGCACAAGCATTCCTTGATTTGCCGGACAGACTTTGCACCAAGTGGGTCTGTCAATCAAGAGTGCCAGTGGTGATCTTCACAGTGTACATTGTGCTGAATTTCCTACTTGATAAATTCTCATTTGATACAACAACGTAATGCAGATCTCTTTTGATCTTCTTTGTGGGAAGCTAGTTTTTAAGTCTCTTCTTTTATTCATGCAATTTATGCAAAAGTGAGCAGGGAAATAGTAGGTACCAACAACAGGTACTGATAAAGAAGACAGCAGCATATCCTTGTGATAAACATTATTTTGACTTTCAAATCACAATTAGGAAAAACATTAGTTTGAACCATAGGAAATGGCTGTTTTGTAAAGTCAAACAGTTAAATATCAGTAATTTCTTATGGTTCAATCTAATATGTAGCAACATGGGACAAAACTAATTATATAATAGTAAGTAAATCGCTTGTAATCATAGAGAACACTTAACTTGCTCAACTGTGTAAAATATACTTATGGAAAAAGCCTGCAACAAAATATAGCAAAATATTAACAGTGATTGTGTGAAGTTGATAAGATTATGAGTGCTATTTCTCACCATTTTTTTCAAAATGTTGATAATATTTGTATTTATAATGAAAAATATTTTTAAAATAATGTGAGAAAATGGTCATGTATTTCAATTTTATTCTATAGGATCTGGCCTTTGCTTATAGAGATAAACTTAATAATAGTACATATCAGTGAATGTGCTTGCTTACTTTCTTCTCCATCCCTACCTAATTTTGGTTTTGGACTTCATTTTCACAACCCCTGTCCCCCCCCCCCCCCCCCCCCCGCAAACTGCCTAGAATGAGAGGAGCTCAGAATTACTTACAGGTCACAGTGAGCAGCTGTCAACACCCAGTTTTCTTTGATCAAAGCCCCTGCACAGACTTTCAGCCCTTCGATTAGAGCCATGTAGCGTCTTGTGTGAGGTGGTACTTCTTTTCCTCTTATAATTCCCTCACAGGATACTGGAAAAACTAAAAGAGTGATCCAGAGTGAAATCCTATCTTACCAAGTCATGCTTCCCTCTGAAAAGTTCTGATATAATGAATAGATGGAGATCGAGTACATAGATGTGCACTCTGCGTCAGGGAGAGAAGATCAAAGCAGTCCAGGTGGCACAGAGTTTTAAAAATTTTCCATGACAGCTCTGTATAATAGCATGTTGAAATTAAACAATCTTCTCTTCCTCAAGAATGCAAAACACCTTTAACATAATGTCTGTCTCCTTCCTATCCCTGGGAGGTAGAAAATGTCAGGCAATAGAGTCTCTTTTCTTAAAGCTCAAAAAGCAAAAAGATTAAAGACTTAACATCACACTGTAAAAGCAGATTGGGGAGAAACACCATTCTCCTGTTTGTGCCTTTACTAGTCTGTTCACTTCCTATTACAGGCTGCATTGTCTCAGTCTTGGGTTGGACACTGTGTTATTGACCTTAAAAATCTCACAGTGTTCCATGGTGAGATTATTATTTGGAATGATGGTTTGGTAAGTTATATTAAATTCAAAGAAAAAAAATCAACAACTATAGTAGCAATAATAATGAAAGCATCTATGATTTACTAGGCACCGGTTAGTTTCAGACACTGGTTCTGATGTTTGCTACAATGCAAGGTGGGTGTTATTACTCCCATGTAGAGATAAGGAACATGAAGTTTAGACAGGGCAATTACCTCGCCCAAGTTTGCACAACTAATAAATAGCAAAGCAGCCTTCTAATACAGTCCCGCATCATGAAAAATCATACCCTTTCCATTGTGATGTACTGTTTGCCTAAAGTAGTGGCTCTGTACCTTTGTTAGTTTTGAAATATAGAGCCATTTGAGAATCTGATATAGTACAGACGCACAGATGCATGTAAATATTTGCATACAGTTTTGGGAGAGTCACAGACTTCTTGATGCCCATCCATGGCCTTGAAGGAGCTCATGGATCCCACATTAAGAATCCCAGCTCTGAAGGTATCATTGAGCTATAAGATATCATAGTGTGTGGTTAAGAACCTGAACTCTGGGTTCAAATCCCAGCCCTACTACTTACTAGTTGATGACTTTAGTAAATGGACTTAACCTCTCTGTGCCTTGGTTTCCTCATATATAAAATGGGCTGATAACAATGATACTTAAGAAGAGTATAAGTAAACCACATAGAATACTGCTATACTTCATTGTAAGTTTTATGCAGTGTTGGTGCACGCGTGCACACACACACACACACACACACACACACACACACAGTTCATTAGAGTATTTTACATTGATGTTATTGCTTTCTTCACCACCCCCACTGCTGGAAATAGGCACTCACAAATACCTTCTGAAAACCAAAGTTTTAAGATTTATCTGAGAGCTATGACCACTCAGTTGTATCTGTATGACTGAGCCCTCCAGTTAATAAGTAATCTATCCATCCCCAATTTAATGGCTTTGTTGGTTTTTCACTTGAAGGTAGAGCTCTGTAGATCTGGCCTGAATTTATGATAACCTCCAGATATAGTTAATGCTTTCATATTTTTGCTGTAGACACAATAGAGTATGTTTTCATCTTAAAAAGCCAATATACCATTTAGATAGCAAAGAAAAAACGTAACATGAAAAATTATTGGAAATTAAGTTGTGATTTCTTTTTCCCTTTTACACAATATTAAACAAAAATTAAAGCAATATAAAATTCTATTTTCTTATAAGCAAAACTAAAAAGCATATGGAAATATGTCTTACCTCCAGGAATTAGAAGGAGACACATGCCAGTGGGAAAAGAGAAAAGGAAAGGAATTTTCATGGCTTCTCTTACTCACATATGGAGACTATTTAGTTTCAGGTACTGACTTAGTAATATATAATGAAACACAAAGGATGTGGGTTTTTTCTTTTTATCTTTCTCTGCTATGTGGCTACAGAGTTTGGTATTTTATTACTGGAAAACATAGCTTTATTTTATAGATGGTGTGGTTACTTATTTGTTTCACATTTCCTTCAGGGTTAGACCTTTCCTACCTTAAAGGGTAAATGTGAAGCCATGGGGACTGTTTCATTTTTATTTATTATTATTATTTTTAATACATCTTTATTGGAGCATAATTGCCTCACAATAACGTGTTAGTTTCTGTTGCACAACAAAGCAAATCAGCCATAGGGACTATTTTAAATTAAGAACATTAAATAGAAAATTGCTCTTCTTTGGCAACTTTTTCACTTTCAAATATGAGTTTATTTAAAAAATCTGAGAATTCAAGTCTATATAAGAAATTATTTTGAAATACCATCTTTAAACCTATTCTAGTGGGGGAAAGGACAGATATTTGATGCATTCATTGTTGAGATTGCTGGGTAATCATCAAGGGAAAACTGAAGTTAGATTCTTAAAGCACACCATTCAACTATAAAAGCACTAAATGAAGATACAGATATTCACACACATGTAGAAATGAGAAAGGGACTTTGAGATATGACATCAAAGGCAGAATTTGTAAGAGATTGATAGATTCAATGATGTAAAATTGAAGTTTCTGTACCTTAACACAGCAAACACAAAGCCAAATTGCAAACATTTTCAATCTATGTGACACAAATGGATATTTTTATAAAGCAATAAGAAAAGATGAACACCTGAAAAGAAAAACGGTCGGAGAATTTGAACAAGTAATTTACAAAAGAAGAAATAAAAATGGCTCCTATCTTCCTAACCTATGGAGGAATGCATAATCACATAGCACAAGTTATCTGTAATAAAAATGCAATTTAAAACATTTAGGTACTATTTTTGCCTGTCAAATTACTAAAAATTAAAAAACACACAAAAAATACTCTCTGTTGTTGGAAATTCTCATGTGTTGATGGTATTTCAAACTGCTGCTATCTTTTTGGAAGGCAATACATATGAAAGGGTTGTTAAATTTTGCATGATCTTTGACTCAACAAGTCATGTTTATGATTCATAATTTTAAAAATTGTGAAATTTAGCAATAAGGAGTTCCATTGCATTATTGTTCCTAATGAGAAAAAGTTGAAAATAATCTAAATGCCCCCAAGTAAGGAATTAGGTAAGCCTATTAGTTTCCCATTGCTGCTGTAACAAATTACTGCAAACTTAGTGGCTTAGAACAACACAAATTTATTATTTTACAGTTCTGTAGGTCAGAAGTCTGATGTGGGTCTCCCCGGGCTAAAACCAAGGTATTAGCAGGGCTGCATTCATTTCTGGAGGTTCTAAGGGAAAGTCCATTTCCTTGCCTTTTCCAGCTTCTAAAGGCTGCCAGCATTCCTTGGCTTTTGGCCCCCTTCCAGCTTCAAAGGCATCAATGGCTGGTGGAGGCTTTCTCATTCTGACACTGACTTTCCTTCTGCCTGCTACTTCCACATTTAAGGGCTCCTGTGATTACATTGGGCTCACTCTGATAATCTCCCTATTTTAATGTGAGCTGATTAGCAACCTTAGTTTCATCTACAACCTCATTTCCTCTTTGCCAAGTAAACTAAGATTCACAGACTCTAGAGATTAAGATGTGGGCAGCTTTGGGTGGGTGGGAACATTATTCTGCATATCATAGTAAGTAAATTATAATTCCTTAGTACAACCATTCTGTGCAACCACTAAATAGCATGGAAAGTGATCACAAAAATGTTGCTGTATCAGACACCTCTTGTGTGTCACTACAGATCCCCTTGGCCTCATGTAATCCATGGACCTTGGGACTTCCCTGGTGGTCCAGTGGCTAAGACTCCATGCTCCCAATGCAGGGGGCCCAGGTTTGATCCCTGGTCAGGGAACTAGATCCCTCATGCATGCTGCAACTAAAGATCCTGCATGCCGCAACTAAGACCTGGTGCAGCCAAATAAATAAATAGATAAATAAATAAATATTTTAAAAAATCCATGGACCTTGGCCACTTGTTCTTCTCCACCTACTCTGTGGAGACCAATTCTGCATGGCCTTGTACCATCTTGGGCACCCCCTGACAGAACCTTGCCTCATGCCTGCATGATACAGCTTTTGCCTCCACCACTGGACTCCACTGCTGCTGCTGAGATCTAGGGTATGATGCAGAAATGTAGGGGAATTTGAGCCTTTTAGGGAAATCTATTGATTAGTAGGAGATGGAATCTAGTTTATATATAAGCTATTTTTTGAAGCACTAATTCTTAGAGTTCTTGGAAGATAGTCTGAGCAATCAGTTGTGCTTGATGCCAAGAGGTTTCCTGTTCAGCCATGCACCTTTGTAGTGTGCTTCTCCTCAACACTCCTCTTTTCTCCCTTCACACCACCTGCTACCCCCTTCTCAAGTATTTTGATCTCTAAGACAGTGGTAGAACATAACTTCTCCCCTCTGGGAGCTCAGGCTGACAGTTGGGAGTGGCACTAGGAGTTGGGAGTGACCTTGTAAATTAGACCCACAAAGTAGGATTTGGAGTTGAATGACTCACTGAACTGAAACACTGGGGACTCCTTTGGTGGTGGTAAGTGGTGAGAGTAGAGGGGCAGTGGGCTTTTTTGCTTCTCCTACCCTGTGATGTGGGATCTGGGCAGCCCTGTCCCCTGCCTTCCAGTGAAGAAGGACACGTGTGGGAACGGGATTTCCCTGAAGTAGGGCAGGTGGGGAAGGGGTAATTGTAACTTTTTTGATTTTCTGAGCTTTGGACTCAGAGTGAACTTTGAGTGAACTCTTAGAGTGAGAAGAGACTTTTATGAGGTTCCCACCAAATCTTTCTGGTTATAGTTCGGTCATTTAGATGTGGTCTAAAGTCAGAGGTTTCTATGTGGTGAGTTTTCTAGGTAATGAAGCGACAATTTCCCTCCCCCATTCCCCAACCCCCAGGTTTGCGTCTCATGTCACCCCACTAGATCACTCACCATATCACTGTTGCTGCATCTACTGTGACCACTGGGACAGTCTCCTTCGTTTCATGTTTTTAAACCACTTTATTGAGATATAGTTTATATATCATGCAATTCACCCATTTAAAATGTACAGTTCAATGGTTCTTGATATGTAGCTATTAATTCTTAAAATTGTGGTTTTATATATATATATATATATATATCATAAAATTTGCCATTTAACCATTTAAAATATACAATTCAGTGGCATTAATTATATTCACAATGTTGTGCACCTATTACCACTATTTTCAAAACTTTTTAGCCATCTTAAACAGAAACTTTGTAATCATTAAGCAATAACTCCCCATCTCCCTCTCCTTCCAGCCTCCAGCAGCTTCTAATCTACCCTCTGTCTCTATAAAATTGCCTATTCTCAATACTTCATGTAAGTGAAGTCTTATAATATTTGTCCTTTTGCTTGTGTTATTTCAATTAGCATAACGTCTTCAAGGTTATTTCAGTTGTAGCAAGTATCAGAATTTCATTCCTTGCTATGGCTGAAAAATATCTCATTGTACTTATATGCCACATTTTGTTTATCCATTCATTGGCTGATTGACTTTTGGGTTGTCTCCACCTTTTGGCTATTGTGCATAATGCTGCAATGAACATTGGTGTAAAAATATCTGTTTGAATCCCTGCTTTTTGGTTATATACCTAGGAGTAGAACTGCTCGGTCGTATGATAATCTATGTTAAGCTTTTTGAGGAATCCCTTTATTTGACAACTTTAGATCCTAGCTTCCTGTTACTTTCTGTACTCCTACTTATGTCTTAATTCTTGGGACTTTCAATATACAAGTAGTTGATCCTTGCAGCACTCTAGCTGCAGACTTCCGGTTTCTGTTTAGGATGTAGAAAGTTGGAAAGAGTGCTAATTCCACATTTATAACAAAGAAAAATCTGGATAATCTACAAAATCATAATTTTTCTTTAACTTCTCAGACTTGAGGCTGCAGGTCAAACAAGTAGGCTGAAATCTAAGGGAAGACAGGTACCTCCAGGGAGGACCTGCTTACCTGGAGAAAGGCATGATCAGAAGAGGTGCTGGACATCATAGAAGCTGATCGGAAGAGTTCAGGTAAGTTTTAAAATGAATTCCTAAGGGCTGAGTGTGGCTTAGCATAAAAATATAGTGCCCCTGGGAGCTACAGACACAAAGAGAATTGACACTAGCTGGCAGGCTTTTCTCCATGGACCTCACCAGGAGAAAGCTGGGGGCAAGGCAGTGACTGGAACGAGCCTCCCCTTTGGTGCAGGGGACAAGAGCAGCCACCTCTGCAGGCAGGGCACAAAGCTCTGCCAGGATGCTTTACCCCTAACTTCTGCCAGGATGCTTTACCCCTACCTTCTTCACAGAGCAAAAGCCCTAAGTTTCAGAGGAAAGGGCAGCAAATACTCTCACCCTCAGGGTCGAGGTGAAGACACATTGTAGCTAGAAGAAGGGAAGAGAAAAAACCAACCCTCTGTTTCTGAAGGAGAGGCAGGAAAAGAGCCTCTGCCACTAGGGCAGAAATAGGATCACTGAGATGGTCCCACACTGAGACTAAGGTACACAATGCTTGCCTAGAACTGGGCCTGAATATGGACAACAGAAAATGTCTCCCCACTTCCCACCCCAAGGATAGCAAGAACTGAGTAACAAATAACAATAGCCTACTACTAGGTGCAGGCAAAAATGAGGGGAGAAAATATCTTTGAGGTTTAGGGACATAGGCAAAGCCTAAGGCTGAAGTGGAACAGAACGTTGAGAAATGCTCTCTGGAAACCCAAACCCAGCCAGAAGGACGAGGTAACGCCAGAGGCATTTCTAGCCTGAGGTGTCCTGACGGTACCTGTAGCAACAATAAATGCAACCCCAGATCAACTCCTCACTAGACTGACTCAATTCCTCACAGTAGAGGCCTAGATAAAGAAGAGTTATTCACATATCCAGAC